CAACTTATAAGTTGGCTCAACACTTGGCAAAAATACTGTCACCACTAAGAGGACATACCAGAGCACACACAAAGGATTCATACCAATTTGTTAGTGAGATTAAAGACCTACATCTCGCTGACAATGAAACTATGGTCAGTTTTGATGTTCAGTCACTATTCACATGCCTACCTATTGAAGACTGCATCTCAATTGTTATTAGAAAGCTAGAAGATAACAACATGCCTACAGAATATGCAGTATTACTCAAACACTGCCTCACATCTGGCTATTTATTGTGGAAAGAAGAGTTCTACATGCAAGTAGATGGAGTGGCAATGGGCTCACCTGTATCTCCCGTAGTCGCCGACATATTCATGGAGGACTTTGAGGAGAAAGCCCTTCTTACTGCTCCTGTAAATCCAAGATTCTACAAGCGGTACGTAGACGATACTTTCACAATTTTACCATCTGACAAAGTAACTGCATTTTTAAACCACCTTAATTCCATAAACCCTAAAATACAATTCACAATGGAGTTAGAGGCAAACAATACTTTAGCTTTTCTAGATGTTTTAGTCATCCGAAATCCTGATAACACTATTGGTCATACTGTGTACAGAAAAAAGACCCATACCAACCGATATTTAAATGGTGAATCTCACCATCATCCTTCACAGTTAGCTACCGTGGGAAAATCTTTGTTTCAGAGAGCACGAGGGATCTGTGACAGAAAACATCTGGCCGCCGAGCTTCAGCACGTCGAGCAAGTACTGCAAGACAACAAGCTTCGGGTCCCGCGCCTACGTCACAGTGACCGAGTGAAGCCAGCCACAGTCGAGCGTGTGCCTGCTGTACTACCCTATGTCAGAGGAGTCATAGACAAGGTTGGCTACATCTTGAAGCGAGCTTCCATTAAAACGTACTTCAAGCCGCTGAAGAAGATTGGTCAATTTTTACCATCCGTCAAGTGTCATATCCCTCTACAAGATGCAGGAGTATACAAGCTGGATTGTGAATGTGGTCTCTCGTACATAGGACAAACAAAAAGATCTATTAAAACCCGCGTTAAAGAACATATAGCTGACGTGAAGCACCGACGTATCGGGAAGTCTGCAGTTTGTGAACATGTTCAGGATCGTCCCCGTCATTACATTAGATTTGATAGACCACAAATCCTCGCAAAAGAACACCGATTCCTCCCAAGGATGATTCGCGAGGCTATTGAAATTAAAAAACATCCTAATTTCAATAGAGAAGATGGATGGGTGCTGCCATCTGCTTGGGATCCCATAATTAATAAAATCAAATCCAAACCCAAGTATACCACTGCTAGACTTCAAGATACTGTAAGCTCATTCTGCGTAAATCGAACCAAAAATTAATATTAAAAAACTGAAGGTAGCCGGGCTAACTATGACAGCAGGACGTCAAACAACTCAGTCCCCCGTGACCACGGGTGCTGGAAAGCACCCGAAACGTCGGGAATATAAAAAAATAAGTTAAAAATAAGTTAATATACGCGATAAAATCCGTAAAATTAGTTTTATTTAAAAATGTGTAGTGTCCGCGTAAATATAAGAAATCATTATGCCTACTTGTTTGAAAATTCATACTAGGGACTATCTGTGCGTTTCGTTTGGCTCTCCACAGACGACGTTCATGTGGAATTTGTGGGTGCTCTCTGCATTGAGGCTTAGGAGGCCACGCTGGGCCGCTTCGTGTCGCGTCGCTGTTTGCAGACCTGATCCGGTCGCATTGCGGAACGAATCATAGGGGCACAGATAGGTGTTTGAAAGAGGTCGTCGGACTTCTGTCCAGTACAGGACTTGTTAAGGTGCTGCGATGCTCACCAGGAGCATCCAGCGGAGGTTGACCCTCCGGCTTGCCACATTGGGGCTATCTTTTGAGGCGGTGGCTGAGGTTGCAAGATCTGATGGGGTGCCTAAGGTGGCCTAGTTTTGGTGTAGATTCGGTCTTGCAACGTGCCGTCGCGACCCTGTCCCGCTTGTCGGTTTGCTCGCGGACATAAGTCCTTATGTCCGGGACGGGGGTTTGTTTATGCCCAAATTTGGTTATGTTTGATCGCCACCCAATTGCATTCGAGCTGGCGCCTCACCCGATGGTATGTAGGTGAGATAAGCGCCGAGGTGGGGCGGCCGTGTGCGGCTTGCAGTGGCTCGACGCGTGGGCGATGATGAGAGAGTTGCCCACTGGCCGCGAAACGGGGAACACGCGTAGCTCGTTTATTGCGGCCGAAGTTCACGCGACCGTTGTCGGGTCCAGATAGTTAGATTAAGTGCGTGTTACTTCGTTACGTGGATATGTGAATTTTGCAATATTGAACTTGTTCGGGGATGCGGAATTGTGCACGCGCGCGTCGAGTAGATATACGGTCTAGGATTCGAACCGCGCATTCCTTGTTCGAGAGCTTCTCCCGGTTGGTCGTCAGGAAATCATTATAATTGTGCCTTCGCGTTAAGTGCCCTTTTTTGTGTGTTGGTTGGCTTGTTAGTTTACGTGTCAACGAGGCGTATTTTGAATCTTTTCGCGACGTGGTGTTTGGTGTCGAATGAAGGAACTTAGTTGTGTTTAACGCTTATGACTCATTAAGTGATCGCTTTAATTCCCTATTCATAACTTTGTGATAAGTGAATCTGAGACATTGAATGTCGAAATGGAACTACTGTCCTTACTGTGTCGGGTATCACGTGTTCGATTCTACGATGAATGTGGAATTAGGCGAGTTTAAGTTAGTTAAATGTACAATGAAGCTAATAGACTGTAATAGTGACAAGGAAGAAAGAAATGGTCCAGCGGTGGAGCCTGCTGGAGCGATGTAGCATTTTGGGGCAGCCTGGAACTCGGCCGCTGCTGATTGCCTAAGGTGGTCAAGGTCCCACACATTTACACATCACTGAACACTACTTGACATTCACCTTACACCCACGCACGGCCTGACCGAGCCTTGGTGCGAAGTTAGCTTCTGATACTGGTACGTAATATGTGTTTCTAGCATTCTCCCATATAGCTTAGTGTTATAGGAAATTCTTCCATATAGCCACTCGGGCTCGAACCTGCGGCTGCTCGTTGAATCTTCCGCTCATGGGCCCCGGATATTGAACCTTTGCAGGAGCAGCTGCGGGCCGTAACACTATTATTAAAAAAAAGGCCCGAGTAGGGTTTTTTGCTGGTTTTTCCCAGGACAGAGGCTTTTTCCGAACTAGTCGTAATTAAATAAGAGTAATTTTCAATAAGTATTATTTATAATCTATATTGAATAAAAAAGTTTTTGATTCTGTTTCATTTTACTTTAGTCGGTTATGTTTTAGTTCCTTATACTTGCATAACTATTTTTTTAAATGATTGTCCTAATACTTTTAACTTTGTAACGCAGAGTAAAGTGAGTCCATCTAGGCATACTTCATATCAAAATTTAGTCTGATACAATGTATGACTTTGATTAACTTGGCGTAGAAACCATTAGTAGTAACCAAACTAAAATTAAAAAATAAATAAAACATTTGTGCAGTTCACACGCGATAGAAGTGAAACCTTCAGAAAAATACCGAAATAATAGGAAATACTGTATTCTATTTCATTCTCTCGCAGGCTCAATCCTATAGATATATGTTATATAATAGATACCTAGTCAGGTCATAAATTCTGTTACATGTTTTATATAAAATAATTGAAACAAGTTTATTCATTATGTAACCATTTATATACCAAAATGAACTTAACAAAACATAGATTCTTATGACATATTCAAAATGACCTCCGTGATTTTGAATACAGGCCTTCAATCTGCGCGGCTAGTCGTCTATCGCAGCACGAACGAGGTCCATGTCAATATCGGCGGCTGCCTTAATCAAGGAAGTCTTGAGTGACTCCAAATTGGGATGAGGCTTTGAGCACGCCTTTTCCTCCAAGTGTTGCCATATCTTGTAATCTAACGGATTCAAATCTGGACTGGAGGAGGGCCAGTCTTCGTGCCGGATGAAGTCGATTTCACGCGCCGCCAGCCAGTCTTGTGTGCTCTTCGCTCTATGAGCTGGCGCCGAATCTTGTTGGAATACCCAGTGCCTGTTATTGAACATGGTATGAGAAACAGGTTCCACAAGGTTCGTCAGGACTGTATTTTGATACACAACTGCATTCGTTTTTACACCTTTCTCACAAAAATGTACCTCTGTTAAGCCCCAATAAGAAACTCCCAACCATACCATGAGCGAGGATGGAAAATGACCTCGTTGGACACGCGGAATACGGTTGCTCGCTTCTTCACTACTGTGTGCGTACACCTTATCATTTTGTTTGTTGTAGCTCTCTTCTACGGTAAAAAATTTTTCATCCGAAAAAAGAATTTCCCGATATTTTTTTCATTGACGAGCATTCAAACGATGTCCTGTTTTTCTTCGATATGCCCGAAGCCCTAAGTCTTCATTTAACACCCTTTTCACCGTGGTTCTGCTTAACCCCATCTGAAGGGCCAACAGTTTCTGCTTACGTTTGGGATTTCTTTGAATTCGCGCCTTCATAGCTTTTATCACTGCTGGAATCGTAACAGACCAAAGGCAACCACTTCTTGACCTGTCATCTACACTAGTCTTCATTGTATCGTTTAATAGTACGATAAACGAATCTTTTCGTTATATTCAAATTTTTCAGTATGTGAAAAATTTGAATTGGCGCGGAACCGCAACGATGCAACGCAATAACTGCAACACGGTCTTCTTTAAGCGTCCACTCCATATTTAAAAATGAGTAAAATTCTAAAAATTATACAGTTTTATTTTCATGAACAATTCGAAATTCGAATTCAATAAACTTTTTTGTGGCCAGCATTCTAAAAGAAAATTTTTTTCTGTGTGACAATACTTATGACCTGACTAGGTATATTATGTTTGTCTCATTTTAGTGTCGCTTTTTTGTTTCATCGAGTTTAAAATCACAACGATTCAAGAAGTTTTGACTTCAAAAATGAAAAAAATTAATGTTTAATTTTTAATAACACCTACCTTACAATATGGTTCCACATTCAGATCTAATGGAGTAATAACTCGTATACGCATTTTCTTCTCCTGATCGAACTTAAAAGCTCTATCAACTACAATCTTAATCTCGTAACGAACATGGCCATAAGTGCCTTCAAAAGATGATGGACAGTAAGCAGGAATTAGGCAATCGAACGGAAGCTCGTGTTTACCAGGCTGAAGGTGGTACTCACCTGGAAAAATTAAAATAACTTCATGTGGTTTTCAGTTAAGTCAGGTGTTTCTGTCGAACATTACTTTTTGAATGGCACAAATGCTTTTCAAAAAGTAGTGTCCCAGCTGAAGATCAGTTTTTGACCGAAGCTAAATAGGAAAACGATTTTTTAATTTTTTTTTTCGTCTTTCATTGTAACATTCGGCCGAAGCTTTAGCAAAAGGTTAACTCTGCCTGGGCTTTTTGGTGCAGCCGGTCCCAAGTCCGAACAAAATAGGAGGGTTGGCTAGAAGAGATAAATGCAGCCGTAAAAGGAGTCAACGGCGAACCTTGGGCTTCGGTTAATTAACCCAACTCCAACTCAAAATTCTTCGAGTGGTCTTGGAGCGGCAATTCAGTGGCTGTGAGGGGCTAAATACCCTCTAAAAGAAGTTTCCGCCGGAGAGAGTGGGTGTTTGCACTAGGACCTGCGCAGTAGAGCGCCGTACGCGGGGATGAAGGAGTCCTGGCGAGTTGAACCAAACGTTACGGGGATATATAGTGGCGAGAGGAAACACGCCCTCTATTCTCCGGATTTCAAGCTAAACGGTGGCCCAATCTGCAGCAGAGCTAAAGATCAGATCCACCGCAGGGGTCGGGAAAGCAGGTGCTACCGAGCGCTCGATTTTTCTGGCCCCATGGCCGCCGCGTATCGGACTTGGGCCCGTTACGCAGGTGGAGTTGGTGGCCGTGAAGGAAGGCATGCCATGAGGAGCTACCAAGGGGCGACCAGCGCTGGTGGGGCCGCGGATGTGTGCGAAAGTGTTCCCGTGGCCCTGCCAATATGCGACGAAGGTGGATCACCATGGGGTTTTAGTCTGTGCGAGTCCGACATAACCCGTCCTTGCGTACGCGCGGCGGGTATGCATAGGCATTTCCCCATGTAAAAAAAAACTTTGAGCGTGAGGTCAATCGACAGATTCTACCCGTCTGGGCAGCGTATGGGAGATTATGACATATCTTCTCGTCAGGTATACCTCAGAACTTCAAAACAAGATTGAATAACTAATGCATGGTGCCAGTGTTGACTTATGGATCTGAGACGTGGTCCTTCACTGCTGACAGAATGAGTTTGCTCAAAGTAGCTCAGCAAGCTATGGAGAAGGGTATGCTCGGTTTTCTCTTCATGAAAGATTTAAAAATGAGGATGTCCTCAGTAGAACCAGAGTAACCAACATCGCCCAATGGACTAGTGAGCTGAAGGCCCTATAGCTCGAAGAACCGGCAACTAATGGGGAAGCCAGGTTCTCGAGTGGTAGCCTTGTACCAGTAGACAAAATGTATGGCGTACCCTACACGATGGAGTGACGACCTGGTAAGACATGCCGGAAGTCGATGGCTGCGGGTAACTCAGGACCGTGCTTTGTGGCATTCCTTGGGGAAAGCCTTCTTTTTGTATTACATGGGGAAATGCCTACGCATACCCGCCTCGCAGGGAGAAGGACGGGTGATGTTCGACTCGCCCGACTAAAATCCTATAGTATTGCGCCTTCGCCGCATATTGGTAGGGCCACGGGAACGCTTTCGCACATATCCGAGGCCCTACCAGCGCCAGCCGCCCCATAGCGGCCCCTCCTCGAGAGAGAACTACTCCTCCCCATCTCCTTCTCAGGTAAAGGACACCAGAACACACAACCGCCTTCCTCCGCGGACTCCAACTACACCTGCGCTCAGTAGCACTAGCCTTCCTAACCCCAGCGGCGGATCTGCTCTATGGCTCCGCCGCCAACCAAGATTCAGCTACGGAGGGTGGGGAGAGCGATGCCTCGCAATACCGACACTCCCCTCCCCCCGCAGCCTCACCATCACCGCATCAACGGTGCGGCCGCATCAGTCGCGGAGGATAGGGCGCGTGGCGCATCGCCAACACTCCTCTTTCTCAGTGACTCCACCTCGGCTGCAGCGGTAGGGGAGAGGACACCCGTCTCGCTGCAACCCACCAACACCCATCCAAAGTGGCTTGTGAAGCCCACTCGGAGTGGCCACCTCGGGCCGACGGAGTGGGTTCCTCTTAGTTCACTGCAGGTGACCAATCCGCGGCCACGACAAGGCGAGAATCCGTTCGAGGGGGGGGGGGGATCCGTGGGGGAGACCTATGTTCAGCAGTGGACTTGTGAAGGGTTGTGATGATGATGATTAACAATTCGATGCGAGCATGGTCCTTACCCAGTCAAGGTGACTTGTTTATTAGACATAATAAAATTTACAAGATAATCCACATTTGTTTATACTGCTATCCAAGGACTTTTACTCTAGTCCATCTTTGCGCTCATTACTAAATTTATTCTTGAATATACTGCTAACATTCATGTATTAAAGTACAAGTACATTAGTCCTTGTGTACTTGTTTAATCCATTAATGCTTAAGTTGCCTAATTGGTTACAGAAGCAATTCATTAATTAATAGAGTACTTTGAAGGTTATTTTAATTGAAGAATATGTGCACATTGTCTTTAATAATATAAACAATATAAGAAGAAGGAATTTTTTAACTTTTTTTACAAACTAGTAATTGTTATATTTATATTTTTTACAACCTACCTTATGGCACTTAATTTACCTTTAAATGCTTCAATCTACCATCGGAATTATCCTTAATGCAATCTATGTTTTCTTGAATTTGAGTTGAAATTCTAAAAAGCCTAACTTTTACTTTACTTATGCTTGAAAGATAAAAATACTTTACGAGGTTGGACTTCTGTTCATATTAAAAATTCAACTGGGTAGGTAGTACCTACTAGCTACTATACCCTCTATTCTATTTCAGTCACTATGCTACAGTGAGTGGGGAACTAAAGAAGTTGTAGAGCCAGTATAATTGTAGACCGTGTGGCATTCCACCTTATTCCTCAAGGGCGACCACTCATCTATAGCTTTCTTAATTTGAATTTGGTAGCAGGTGCAATGTCCACGGGCTGCAGTAGTCATCAGGTGAACTGTAAATTCAATTGTCACAATGATTTTATTTTTAAAAAAAATAGGATATTACTCCTCCTACAGTTTCTGGCTGAAAATAAATGCATCATTCTTTATGCGTTAATCTTTCTTTGCTTCTCTTTTAACAGCCTTTTTTAATCCATCAATGGATATAGGACATTTTTAAGAATGCATAAATTAATAGATTTTCTAAATCTCATCATACTGTGCAAGCAGGTAGGTGCTCTTCGGAGACAAGTGAATAAGAATTATAGAATAATATTAAATTTGTGATCTGTGACACTCTTTTCAGTTTGCCTTGATGTTTGTTTACAACTATAAAGGATACGCAGAGGGAATCTAATATAACACTTAAAAAGTTAAAACAATATTTAGCTTAAACTTTATATTACCATCTTCACTGCCTAGTAGATACACTTTCCTTTTAAAATACTCCTCATAGGACTCATGGGTTTTAGTATAGGTTACGTTGTGTTTACCCTGTCTTCGACTGTGGGTTGTAGTCCAGTGCACTTTACAAAAACCTTTTACTTTAACATATAAACCTGAAGTTATAGAACAAAATTATTTAATCCTAAATTAAATAATAAAATTTAACTAAGGAAAAAAATATTAACCCCCATTTAATTTGCTTTGAAATCATTAAAATAAATGTAAGAGATACATACAAAAAAAATGAACTTGTGTTACCTCTAAAAGTTTTAACTTTGTTTTGTTGGAATACCAATTTGCCGTAAATAGTTTGTCCGGCATAATAAGTTCCATTTTCACTATTTAAAAATATGCTGCCTTCATCAAACCCCATTATATAATTGTAAACATTAAAAACAATTTACATGCCGACGCCAGGGTCACAGAGTACTTTTTTTATATAGGCCAGGGTGCCCGATTACTTCTAGCGGTCTAGCTTCTAGCTTGCTGCATGATTCCAGGCAGAGTATAGTAATTAGTAATTGTCCTATACATGAAGTTAATAGACTAGCACAAACTAATAGGAAGTGCTAGGTGATGCGCCATAGATCTAGCCAAAGAGTATAAGTTAATAAGTTGAAATTATACAGGAATATGCTATCTAGCTGGATCTAGCGCAGACTAGAGCTAGAGCTAGACCAGACTAACAGCTAGTAGGGCAGTGTGACCATCTTTAAAATACAGATCCTGCCTTACCTTGGTTTAAAACCAGGCAAATCCTGCCAGTCTGAAGTGAAAAATGCCTAAATACAGCCAACTTTTTTTACCATTGTATTAAACTAAGAAAAGTAAAATACACATAAATATTATATTTTTATTAAAATAAAATTAAACATATCTTTCGCTGGTTTCAATGCAATGCAATCGCCATGCCTTGTTTAACATGCAAGACAGACGCTAGATGTTTGTTTATAAATCTGATCCGTGTTTTTGTCTTAATTAAATTTATTTGAGAGAATATTCTTTCGCATGCTGAATCCACTCATATTTTTTTGATGTTTACCAGTAGCGTCATGCTCCTTCTCTATACGCTCTTTCATATTTTCGCTTCATCACCACCACCTATAATTACTATCGTCCACGATATATTATTAACAAGATATTATCACCATGAAATCTAATGCGATACCAAACTAAACCCCGCTTTTCACTATGAGATATAATATAATATCGTTACTGGAAAGCCAATACTACTTAAGCGCAAATTTGGCCAAAATGAGTTATATATATCGTTGGATTGGATTTTTTTTCTACGTCGATTGGTCTATATTTCGTGATGATCTGAGCACTTTTTGGCGCTTAAGCACTGCAAAAGTATGGTATTTATCATAATTTTCATGTTTTGACAAATACTTACGTAATACAAATCTACGAATACAAATTATGATTAATTCTTAGTCATTGTCAGTTTAGTATTTTTCTTTACTGACAACAGACAATTCAATTTTGTTCAGCAACTCAAAATACTGTAGTTTGAGTCATTGATATAACTTTAGTATTTTTTGCCGGTCGTAAATACTAGCATAAGTAAATTTGCCTTATGTAAAAATTGATAAGTATGGCGCGTTAGTATATTTTGTTTTCGCAGTTTTCTTAGAGGGAACGGTTTTAGTAACTTTGCTTTACATATATATTATCTAAGTATTTGAGTGTCTATTTAGAATGTTTTATATTCAATGAAATCGAATAACTATTTTAATAAGTATGGATTACTTTACTCCACAAAATATTATTAGTTGGTTTAGCATTTAGATGTGTGAAAAACGTTAAAAAATATTCAGTTAAGTCTTTTGAAATTAAATTTTGTTTTGATTATGATTTGTTAAGGACGTACGTACAATTTATATTTTGATTTACATAAATTTTTAAATACGCCATATGGCCAAAGTATGTTATCATACTACAGTCACAAATTAGCCGTATATAATCTTACTTTTTATGAGTCCAGAACTAGAGAAGTCTACTGTTATTCTTGGACTGAGACAGAAGGCAAACGTGGAGTTAACGAAGTGTGCACCATCTTAGAAAAATATATCAAGATGGAGACGATCGTAGGTCAGTCAGACATCTTTTGTTTTATAGCGATGCGTGTCCCGGACAAAATAAAATCAGAATTCTTCTTGCATGCATTCATACTCATCTGCAAAATTACAAGAACATTGCGAGCATACAAATGAATCATCTCTATTTGTGGAAACTTTGTACATCAAAGATATTTTTTTTTATAGGATAGGGTAACAAACGAGCATACAGTCCACCTGATGGTAAGTGGTTGCTGTGACCCATAGATATCTACGTTTACCCGCAATGAAGAATCAAAATGCAGATGCGTCGTCACCCTTAAAGACTAAGATGGAATGCCTCTTTTCCAGTAAAATGGGTCTCCGGTTCTCTACACTTACCATACGAAACACAGCAGTATCAAGCTGCCATTTCACGCTGGTATTCTGTGAGAGCGTGGTCCTTCCCCGGTCGAGCCGACCCATTCGTGCTACAACTACACTACTAATATAGCTGCAGCATGGCTCTACCACGTATTAATATAATAATTCTTGAAATGTATGACTATGAATATGAAAATTTTCCATGTGCCGTTAATGTTCAGGACACCCTTCAAGATAAGATGTGAAAGATAAGATGTGATATCTATACAAATAAATAAAATTGAAGTGTCTGTTTATAATGTTAAAATTACGGTTTTTACAAAATGGATATGAAAGCATATACGATACTTATAAGAAGAACACAATTTTTAAATTTTTTGTCTGTGTGTCGGTCTGTCTGTTTGTTCCGGCTAGTCTCGAAAACGGCTGGACCGATTTTGACGGGACTTTCACTGGCAGATAGCTGATGTCATAAGGAGTAGCTTAGGCTACTTTTATTTTTAAAAAGAATAAGGGTTCCGCGCAAAAAAGAACTAAAACCCCAAATAACACGCGGGCGATGTCGCGAGGAACAGCTAGTCTAATTATAAAATTTTAAAATTATTGATTTCTTATATTTACGCGAACACTACACATTTAAATAAAACTAATTTTATGGATTTTATCGCGTATATTAACTTATTTTATATTCCCGACGTTTCGAGCACTTTACATCACCCATGGTCACGGGGAGACTGAGGTGTATGACGTCCCAATGTCACAGTTAACCACGGCTACCTCCAGATTAAAAATTATTAATTTTTGTTCCGATCTACGCAGTATGAACTTACAGTATCTTAAAGTCTTGCAGTTGTACTCGTATGCTTGGGTTGGGATTTAATTTTATTAATTATGGGATCCGAAGGAGATGGTAGCACCCAGCCATCTTCTGTATTGAAATTAGGATGTTTTTTGATTTCAATAGCCTTGCGAAATATCCTCGGAATGAATTGGTGTCCTTTAGCGAGGATTTGTGATCCATCAAATCTAATATAGTGACGGGGGCGATCCTGTACGTGTTCACAGACTGCAGACTTTTCGGAGCGTACAAATAACACACTTAAAGAAACTAGTGACCTCATAAAGTAACACACCGAAAAATAAAATCTAGACGTAAAATCGATAATACCTACGTGTGCTAAACCACCGAAGTTGTATGGGTTACCAAAAATACACAAGCCCAATGCTCCACTACGTCCCATAGTGAGCCAAATCGATTCACCAACTTACAGATTGGCTCAACACTTAGCAAAAATACTCTCACCGCTCAAGGGACATACAAGAGCACACATATATATAGTATATATAGTAGGATTCCTACCATTTTGTCAGCGAGATTAAAGACCTACATCTGGCGGATAGTGAAACTATGGTCAGTTTTGATGTGCAGTCGCTGTTCACATGCTTACCTGTTGAAGACTGCATCTCGATTGTTACTAGAAGGCTGGAAGCAAACAACATGCCCGTAGAATAAGCACTATTACTCAGACACTGCCTTACATCTGGCTACCTATTCTGTAAGGAAGAGTTCTACAAGCAAGTAGATGGCGTGGTGATGGGCTCACCTGTATCTCCTATTGTCGCCGATATGTTCATGGACGACTTAGAGGAGAAAGCCCTGCTTACTTCTCCCGTAAACCCAAGATTCCACAAGCGGTACGTAGAAGACATTTTCACAATTCTACCTTTAGATAAAGTAACTGCATTTTAGACCATCTTAATTTCATAAATTCTAAAATTCAATTCACAATGGAATTAGACGCAAACAGTTCTTTAGCTTTTCTAGATGTGTTAGTAATTCGGTATCCTGATAACACCTTGAACCACACTGTGTATAGAAAAAAGACCCATAGAGATAGATATTTAAACGGTGATTCTCATCACCATCGTTCACATTTAGCTACTGTGGGTAAATCACACCTGGCCGCTGAGCTCCAATACGTCAAGCAAGTTTTGCACGACAATATGCTTCGGGTCCCGTGCCTACGTCATAGTGAACGAGTGAAGCCGGCCACAGTCGAGCGAGTGCCTGCTGTACTGCCATATGTCAGAGGTGTCACTGACAAGATTGGCTGCATCTTGAAGCGTGCTTCCATGAAAACATACTTCAAGCCGCCGAAGAAGATTAGTCAGTTTTTACCATCAGTCAAGTGTAATGTCCCTCTGCAAGATGCAGGATTGTACAAGCTTGATTGTGAATGCGGTCTCTCTTATATAGGACCAACCAAAAGATCCATAAAAACCAGCGTTAAAGAACACATAGCTGATGTGAAGAATCGACGCTCCGGGAAGTCTGCAGTCTGTGAATACGTACAGGATCGCCCCCGGCACTAAATAAATATTTAAAGATAAATTATTTCCGGATAACATCACGTGCCACCACTGAGGAAATAATCGTATATAATATATTCAGACATTAATAAAAGAAACAATCCCGATTATTAGTTCTTAACTTTCTGGGTAACATCACGTCACGTGTAACTGCATTAAGAAAGTAAGTAAATTATTTATGGATGACATCACGTGCCACCACCGAGGAAATAAAATAACTTTATTTTTATTAGTTAATATGTAGGTACTTAGATACAAAAATCACCCATTAACTTTATTTATGTACTATTTTTTGGCAGACTGTACATACTAAAAGATTATCTTTATGTCACTTGTTAAATGCACCATAAATAAAAATCATAATATTAATTATTATTTAAATAGGTCGCAAAACTAACCTTTATTACGGGATCATCTTGCGATTTTATGTTAAGACTTAAACTCCTTTTCCAAACACCTTACTTTAATTCTAATTCCGTCAGCAGTCTTCTCACTTGTTCTTTTTATTTTTTAATTTTTACTTAAACTTAACTAAACAAATCTTATTTGTTGTTTGTTGCGGCGCACATGCGGATGATGC